TCTCATTTATGCGTCGGGGTCAAGAGTCAAGAGTCTTCTATTTTGATTTTTAATTTTTTTTTTTTTTTTTTAGAAAAAAAGAAAAGTATAAACCGCGGAGAATTGAAGTTTTTTTTTTTTTTTTTTTCTTAGAAGTTTTATAAAGTATAATAAGCTATAAAGTGCCTTTGTTTGCACGAAACCCAACTTCAATCATTAATAGAAAGTACAACATATAGTACCGGTTCCGTAACTCCTTCACCCCATTTCGTATCTCTGAAATCTGAATAGAATTTCTCTGTTCATATTGCATCGCTTTTCCTCTGTTCCCACCCATCATCGGTTCGTCCATTTATTACTAACAATTGAAAACACAATTCCAAAGCTGTCAAATTAAGAAGCAGCCATGGCAGGAGGAAGCGAAGGAAGAAACTTAGAGGAAACGCCTACATGGGCCGTCGCCGTTGTTTGTTTTGTTTTGCTTTTTATCTCTATAACCATCGAGCACATCATCCATCTCATTGGAAAGGTATAAGTACCATTATTTACTTAATAGTTCTAATTTATTATATAATGAAGCTTTAAGTTATTAATCACATGAAATAGTGTAATTTATAATTATGTCCCTATTTATATATATAATATAGATAGGTGTGTGTATTAATTAACAAAAAAACATGTTTATGCAAGCAGTGGTTGAAGAAGAAGCACAAAAGAGCTCTGTATGAGTCACTTGAAAAGATCAAATCAGGTTTGAGTTTTACCCGGCTCATAATTCAATATACCCTTACGTTGTTGAACTCTCAAATCGAGAAAGCTTATATAATTAATGACGTATGAAAAGTGTTTAAATTGGTCATATAAATGATTTAATGGGTTGTTGCAGAGCTTATGTTATTGGGGTTCATATCGTTGCTCCTAACGGTAGGACAAGGTCCAATATCAAGGATATGTATATCAGAAAAAGTTGCAGGGACATGGCACCCCTGCAGAGATGAGGAAGAGACCGGAGACTCGTCAAATGAAGAATCAGAACAAAAAATCACTGGTCGCAGATTACTAGCCGCGTTCTTTGGTTCGTACGAGGAAATTCCTCGACGTGTTTTGGCGGGAGGAGGAAGCGACAATTGTCCCGAGGTGTGTACCATTCTGTTATTGTTTTTATCATATACAATCTTTTTACCATGTTTTCAAACTTTATCATATGTGCAAATTGAAATCATCACGAAGTTGTGTACCCCATCATTTTGTCTTTCCTTATGTGCAGGACTATTTTTGAGTTTTGAACCTATTTTGTATTTGTTGATATGTTCGTAAATATTGTCTGTCGATATCATGTACGTTCATGTTTCATGAATCAATGAAAACGATTATAGTTTTAAATTTCTTTGGAAATAAAATCACTATTTAATTTCCAATATAGTATAAGTTTGTTTTCATCATCTGCCGAAATTTTTATTTAGAATAGACTAGAACATTAATAAGATTTGAAAAGTTGAAAATTCTGCTGATGCCAAAAACTTCACGGAAAGGGTCAATAAAAGCAGAAATTAAAAAAGAAAGAAGAAAAGGAAATGAAAAAGATTGAGAACGAAGGTGCATATGATATACTAAAAATATATATTACTGTTATGATTCACTTATCACTAATGTGCAGGGTAAAGTCCCGTTTGTGTCATCGGATGGTATTCATCAACTCCATATATTTATCTTCGTGCTGGCTGTTTTTCACGTCCTTTACTCTGTTCTCACTATGGCTCTAGGAAGATTAAAGGTAATTAATGAAGACATATTTCAATTTTCTTTTACTAAATTATATGCCTCCCTTTCTATATATATCTCCGAGTTTACTTAATTAATTGGTTGAATTATGACTCAATAGATGAAAAGGTGGAAGCGATGGGAAGAGGAAACCAAGACAGCTGACCATCAATTTTCAAACGGTCTGTCGTTTGTTTGTGTTTGAATAAATGTTACACACATACGTTATAGAATTATATATGTACATACATACATGCACATAATTGTATATTTATTAAGCGCCTTGTGTGTATATCACAGATCCCGAGCGGTTCAGATTTGCGAGGGATACATCATTTGGGAGAAGACACTTGAGTTTCTGGACCAAAAATTCTGTCCTCATTTGGATTGTAAGCCAAACCTATTTTTATATATGCTCTTAGTTTTCTGGATACATTAAGAAACATTCATCTTAATTAAAAAAATATTCTAATGAAAGTACTCATATATATGAAATATGAAACTCTTGTAGCTAGTCTCTATCCACTATATAGTTTGAAACTATATAGTATTAGTGAATGCATTTGCCCAAAAGCATTATGGCATTAGACTCTGCTCACACTTACACATTAATATGGCACGTCTAGGCTGAAAGCTCATATTATGTACATAGCTCAAAGCCTCAATGGAACATATATATCAGAGAAAGTTAATAAAAAATAATAAATTAAGGATACAGAGAAATAAAATGAAAAATGTCGCAATCGTCAAATTTAGAACGGAAAAATATCTTTCTAATGACTAATAAAAATTGAACAACGACATTCTAGAGAGGCAGCGCCGTTCGCTTGAGGACCTTTTTTTCGTGAATAATATTCTTGGCCTCTTGAAACAATGTTCTTCTCTTGAAATGGCCAACACCTAGCCGAAGTTCCTAGTGACATATTTATCTTTTTCACCAAAGAAAGGAGCTCTTTCTTTATTTATTTATTTATTTCTTAAATTATTTTGTTTTAAGAAAAATACAATAAAATATATATCGATATTCAAAGTAGCTGTTTAATTTGTCTCTCTCGTTACGTATTAATTTATTAAGCTCGTTTCTTTCTCTTGCACCTGATTGCAGGTTTGTTTCTTTAGGCAGTTTGTACGGTCAGTTCCTAAAGTGGATTACTTGACCTTGAGACATGGATTTATAATGGTAAATATATATAGTCTTCCTTTCTCACTAGTTTCACTTGTGACTTTCTTTAATCAAAAGAGTCAAAGACCATTAATCAATGGTATTGTTTCGGTTTGTAGTTTTCGAAAATAAAATGATTCGTTAATTTTTCTTTGTATTTATTTCACCTGGAAAAGCATGCTAGGAGATTACATTTTCTTAGTGTCTTTAACATCCAATGAATGACTTGAAATTTAATGTTGATTGATTCAGGCACATTTGGCTCCTCAAAGTCACTCGCAGTTTGATTTTCGGAAATATATAAAACGATCGTTGGAGGAGGATTTCAAAGTTGTTGTAGGAATCAGGTTTTGTGCATTATACCTCATCTCCTTTCGTATTTTGGGATTTGATGGTTTTAAATTCCTAAAGGAGATAGATATTCTGAGGTCACAGTTTATAAATTCTATTGGGCAGAAAGAGTCAGTTATAAAGTCTATTAATAATATGTGAAATTATACGTTTTTTCTCTGTATTAAAACTATATCCTTTAACCGCAAGGGTAGCTCAGTTAGCAACTGAGTTCCGTTTATTTGGATCCGAGATTCAAATCTTGACTCAAGTAAATTTTTGAAAAGTCTTTGGGGGCTAGATGACGTGTCTCTCTTCTCGAATGAGGGATTAGTTTTATGCTTCCTCCAATGGCGATGCTCAATGCACCTGCTGTTGTAATGAAAGGTAGCTTTCGGGGCCGTACTCCCAAAACTAGGTGATCGGAGGAGGTTGAATGTGTATACCTCCAAATAAAACAATATCCTTTATAACAAGACAATTAATAACTATGGTTAAGGTATTAAAATAAAAACAAAAAAATAAAAGTATTTAATATATTTTTTGAGTGATTAAAAGAATTTAATTAAGAATAGAAGAATGTTATATTTACAAATTTTTTTTTTTTACAAACTACACAATGTCTTACCGGTAAAACACTCTTAAACAAAGTCTTACCAGTAATACATATTATAGTTTGTAAAAAAAAAAATTATCAATATAGCCCTCCTCTTAAGAATATGAAATACTTCTTAATTAAACAAGCAATAGAAATACTTCTTAATTAAACAAGCAATAGATTTTTTTTCCTTGCTTTCTAGTGTGACACACACACATATATAAGCTAATGTTTTAGTCTCTATATAAATTTTAAAAAGTCATATTATAATTAACTGTTCTCTTTCTGATTATTGCAGTCCTCCATTCTGGTTCATCGCAGTGGTGTTTCTCCTCTTTAATACTCATGGTAATCAAATACGTCTTATAACGCGCTGACAAAGTATTTGACTCATCATTATCTGTATAAATGCACTTATCTCTATGTATGTCATATGTGAATGGACAGGCTGGTACTCTTATCTATGGATGCCATTTATTCCTTTGATTGTAAGCACATGCAATATGGCTACTTTATAATTTTGGTTCAATTTCATATATATATATATATAGTGATCGATAATCATATTAATCCATTATACTCTTGTAATGTCCACAAAATGCAGATCCTCCTATTAGTCGGAACCAAGCTGCAAGTAATCATAACTGAGATGGGACTAAGAATTCATCAAGGAGGAGTGGTTCTGAAGGGCGTGCCGTTGGTGCAGCCAGGGGATCACCTGTTCTGGTTTAACCGACCCGGCATAATTCTCAACCTCATCAATTTTGTCCTCTTTCAGGTACATATGCTACTTTTTTTAAGCAATTATTAGTTAATAATTAAATGAGTACTATATAACATCACTTTTGAATTATTAATATAATACGTATTAAGCAATGTAAGATAATATTTGTTTATTTATTTACTTTTCCTTTTCATTTATTTGAACAGAATGCTTTCCAGCTTGCTTTTTTTTCATGGAGTGCGGTATGTCATTCAAAATTAGTTCATTTTTCTCCTATTTGTTTTTTTTTTTTTTTATCTTTTTCCTATCTTGGTTTATATTTCGTTTTCTTTATCCGATGAAGCTGTTTCATTTTATTTTTTTTCCAACCGCAGCTTCAATTTGGTATTAGATCCTGTTTTCATTCGCATACGGAGGATGTGGTGATCAGAATCTCAATGGGGTGAGTCTCATTCCCACTCCTTCTTAACTCAAACACAACTTTACCAGCATTAATGTCAAGCTTATTGCAAATTAACCATTAATCAACATGGATTATTTCAGGGTGGTCATTCAAATCCTCTGCAGCTACGTTACTCTTCCTCTCTATGCTCTCGTGACACAGGTAACTTAATTAATACTAAATCCATGTTTCTTAATTTTTTTACTTTTCTAATCGAAGTCAACTCTTTTCTCAGCCTTTTGAAAGAAACCAATGCTAAAAAAACAAAAACAAATATATTACCAATTTTTTAATAAATTATTTATCATTCAATACGAGTGAAATATACATGAAAATCTTTGTGTTTAAGTCGCACATCACTATTACATGCAACTTATACAAAAAATTTGCACGCATCATGGAATATGCATTCAACCTCACGTGCAGATCTTTCAGGGAAGGAGACGTGGTTGATACATTTTGGTTTTTGTACAAATTACACGTAGCGTGATGTATGACTTAAATGCACTCACTCTAATACTGGTTACACTCACGTTAGATTGATAAGTAAATTACCAAAAAGTATATTTGATTTTCTTGGATTGCATCGGCCCATTATTCTCACATTCTAACATATGTAAATGGATTCAGTGTTTGTCATTTTAAATGACATAAGTTATGTCATTTTAGAAGAGAGATAGACACAGAAAAATAGAAATCATGAGAGAGAGAAAGTGAGTGGTTTCTTTTAATTTAAAATTTAAATTTTCTGTGTCTGTATCTCTCTTGAAATAACATAACTTTCTGTCATTCAAAATGACAAACACTTTTCCCTATGTAATCTATTTAATTTTCAGTCAGTTATTTTTTATGACTGCTTCAACTGTTGAGAAATTCTGATTTAAGAATTAATTGATTGTGGGCGTGAGAAACAGATGGGTTCAACGATGAAGCCAACAATATTCAATGACAGAGTAGCAGCGGCTCTACGGAATTGGCACCAGACCGCAAAGAAGCACGTGAAACAGAACCGTGGTGGGTCGTTGTCGGTGACACCAATGTCAAGCAGACCGACAACCCCGTCCCATCCTATGTCTCCGGTCCATCTGTTGCGATACTACCGGTCCGAAATGGACACCTTACCTGTCTCTCCAAGAATATCCAACTTCGACGCACCCTCGGACAACGATTCTCCCTCTGCTTCCAATTCCCACCATCACACATTGGAAATGGGTTACTTGTCACGTAATCATCAACTGCATACCAATGACCCCACCACCCAGCATGAGATTGTTGTTGCACCACGTAGCAAGGAATTTTCATTTGATAAAAGAACAACAAATAATTAAAATATTGGAAAACATTTTCTCATGTTGTGATTCTTCGATTTGTGTGCAAAACTTTTTTTTAATAAATATGAGATTCATCACTAGTTGAGTCATAACATGAGAATTCAATTTTAATGTAACATGATAAAATCAAATCTCTAAAAGCAAATATAACCCAAGGAAAAAAAAAAACATATGATGATGTTTGTCGTAGTTTAGAGGACAGCAAGAAATTTGGAACGGGTTGGTTTCATTAAATCTTGGTGATGTTGTTGGTGATGTTGTTTATTTAGTTTGTATAAATGGATTATTATGTTAAATTGATTAATTACTATATTTATAGAGCAGTTGCATAAGTTGACTCTCTCTTTTTTCCTGGCTAACGTTGAGTAATTGGCTTTCAATAGCTGGAAATGAAAAACCGTGGCTAATATTATTGAAGATATATATTTAAAAAAAATACTTGGTGATATATTATAATAATTTTTCTCATACTAGAATTTTACAAAATATAAAAGCATGTTTGTTTCTTAAATATATACTTTTATTAATTTCTTATTTTTTAAATTTTTTTGCAATTGAATTTTATATTAATTTTTTATGGGAGAATTTTATATTAATTTATTGTGCATGGTACGTCACTTTTTAGCCAAGTTGGTATTTAATTTTATATTATTAGTTATTGAGAAACATTGTACTTATTTGGCTAAAAAATTATGTGCCAAAAAAAAATACAAAATTCAGTTGCTCAAAAATGTAAAAAAATATGAAATAAGTAAAGTATATTTTATTTGAATTAATGTTAAATATTTATACAACATGCCATATAAGAATAAATCACGAAAACAAAACCGCACTTAATTTACTACTAAAAAATGCTTTTTTTTTACGGAAAATTCTTTTGAAAATGGTTAAAATTTCGTCGAAAATGAATTTTTTGATGGAATTATTGATGAAAACGAAATCGTCGAATAATTAATATAATTAAAAATAACCAGTTTCCCCTTTCACATTTCAATGCACAATTGCATTTCTAACAAACTTGAACTTGAGATCACTAATTATGTTGTAACACCCCTTTACCATTTCATCAACGGGCTTGGTGGTTCCAAGATGTAATGTGCATTGCAAAAGTGTAGGTGTAATAGAAGAGAAAAACATTGGCAGCTAAACGACAAGAACAACATTGTTGTTATGACAACCGTTGTCTGACTCTTGACTCTTTAGTTGGGTCATAATTATGGTTGCTTCCTACTGATTAGCTAGTATAGTGTACCCTTTTCATCTTCTTGGTTATAGTTTTGAAGTCCAGATGGATAATTCATCTTTCCTAAAGACACTTGAATTCAAAAATAAGATGCCACCAGATCCTCAGTCTTAAAGATTGATTTTCAAGTTATGATTCTATTATTAAACATGTAAAAGGAAACCAAAACACGATCCCAGATTTTTTATCGAGACCTCAAAGTACTGATCAAGTCATTTCCAAGATAAACATTTTTCTTCTGATATTCATGAATATTCCTTTATCCATGTCAGCCAAATATAAAAAAGATTTTCCTCTTGAATTTGGACAACCAGCTTCAGTTGTAGAGGTTAAAAAATTTGCTAAAGATTATTATTTCTATTACATCCACAAAACCATAAGAGAAAAAAATGTTACACTTGGAGTTTTTAATCCTGAAGTTCTTTATCTAGGAATGTTAGAAATATTCTGCCAACCAGGTTTTGATATATGTTAAGATACTCTTTAGAGTATATGGTGCCTTACAGTTCAATATTCAGTTCTTTTAGCTTTGAAGATGTTGGATACATATTAGATTCTCACTAATCCATATAAAGCAGATTACTTTCTGTGGACACTTCTAGAATGGTATTCTCCATTATCATGGAGGAAAAGAGAACTGTACAATATCATTTGTTCCAGAGATATCAATGGCAAAACACGTGGATAGATTGCAAAGGTAACCGTCATTGCAATTGTGTATCGTCCCTACTGGCAAAGATTAGATGGACTCTTGTGGTCTCAAAATATAGCTTATCTGTGGAATACATTTGAAGATTATCCAATAGACCTAAGCTATAAGATCAAATTGACCCAATAGCTTAAAGAGATAAATGGGCATGTTGTCACACTTGCTAGTCGAGCAGGCCCAAGTTCATCACAAGGCCCAAGTTCACCACAAGGCCCAATAGAGATTCATTCTCACAACACTATCGATGAGCCATATAAACTAGGAGAGTTCGATCCTTATCTTGATCGTTACTTTGTAGATTCTCCAGATCCAAATGTTGAGTCATGGATAATATTATTCAAGAAAAGGTGAATACAAACTAAGCTTGGTATCACACTTTCTATGGTAGTGTCAACTCAGAAGAAAAGAAAGAGCTCTGACACCCAGTGATGACTAGGAGACAAAGTCATTTTCAAGGAGCTATCTTAGTCAAAGATAGTTGTTAAGCGTCATTATCATATTTGCTTAATGGTGTGATTTGTCAAAAGTAGTTGGGTGATATGTTTTATCATATAAGGTAATGTGGTGATATGTCTTATCATGTTAGATGATGTGTCCTTTAAGAGTCATTATCTTAGGTGTGTTTTGTCAAAAGTTTACTTTTAGGTGTCGAGTAGTCATTATCTTGTCTATTTGTGATGCAAGTGATGAGTATGAGTCTTATCTTCTTTGCTTATAAAAGGAAGCTTATGGTATTATAAAATGAAGAGTGGGACTAAGATTGAATCATAAATAAAAGCTTGTGTATTTTTCTTGATGAATACATTCTAAGTTTCTCTTTTCTTTCTGAAAGCCTAGTAGAATATTCTTACTATGATTACCACCTCTTAGAGAGACATGTTCTGTCAAAAAGAAGCAAGTATGCTCTACACTTTCCCTTTTTAAGGTATCCTGTGTATCAGAAAGAAGACTTTGTAGTGATCCATGTGTTTTACGATTCTTTTATATTTAAGTATCTATGGGTGATTGTTGCTTGAGTCATCTGGAAAAGAGCTACAAGGTTGTGGGATGCCGTGGAATGCTTTGAATAAGGATGGTAGAGATGACTAACTCATAGATGGTTAAGGATTAGGAGGCTTTCGGCCATATAGGTTGGCTATTTTCAGTGTCTGGATTATGCATGATTTTTGTTCTGTTTCTCTCTTCTCATCTTCGTATAATATTATTACAATTCTCACATTCTCTCTAGAAAAAACTCGAAGAGTTTTCCTCTATATCGCCTTCACCCGGCAGTAGCCTTTGTCAGAACATATCTGATAAGCTCTAATACCAATATGGCCGAGAGCCTCCTAATTTCTAAGCATCCATGGGTTAGTCATCTTTACTTTCCTCATTCAGAGCATTCCACGACATCCGATAGCCTTATAGCTCTTTTCTGGATGACTCAAGCAACTAAGACTCATAGATACTTAAAGATAGGAGGATTGTAAAACATATGGATAATTATAGAGTCTACTTTCTGATACATAGGATCCCTTAAAAAGGAAAAGTATAGAGCATACTTGCTTCTCTTTGAGAAAACATATGTCTCTGAGAGGTGGTAATCATGGTAACAACATTGTACTAGGCCTTAAAAAAGAAAAGAGAAACTTAGAAAGCATTCATGGAGAAACACATAGGATTTTATTTATGATTCAATCTCAGTTTCGTTCTTCGTTTTACAATACCATAAGCTTCCTTTT